TTGTCCTTCAAATAAAGCACTCGATCCTTCATCAGAACCGAGTTGCCTTTCTCCATCATCTGCCCCATGCTTAAGATGTTGCTCTTAAGTTCGGGAACGTAGTAGACATTCCTTATTTCTCCAACTCGTCCATCCTTCTGCATATTGAAGATGGAGGATAAGGAACAAGTATCCGAGTACATAACTCGGGTGGAGAAGTTGGCTAACCAACTCGGAAGGAATGGGGAGCCAATGCCAGCAAGTAGAATTGTGGAGAAAATCTTGAGATCATTAACAGATGATTTCGAGAGTATTGCATGCGTAATTGAGGAGTCAAAGGACTTGTCAGTTCTCTCAGTGGAAGAGCTCGCTGGGTCACTCGAAGCCCACGAACAAAGGAGGAGGAAGATGAAGAGTACTCTTGATCAAGCATTACAGGCGCAACTTGATTTGAATGAAACTCGGAACACGCTCTGCGTCATCATCAAAATTCCTGCTTCCTCGTCCTCTTCTTCTGTGAGAAGATTCTTCTCTTTCTCTTCACTTCGGCTTTTAGCTCGGCAATACTTTGCTATGTGACCGTATTTGCCACAGTTGTAGCAATTTTCCGATCTGCATTCCTTTGCGTAGTGGCCGAGTTTGCCACACTTATAACATTCCACCTCCGACCTTGGCTGACTTCCTTGGCTACGATCACCTCGTCCTTGTCCACCTCCATGATCACCTCGTCCTCTACCTCGTCCTTGATCACCTCGTCCTTTGCCTCGTCCTTGATCACCTCGTCCTTGTCCACTTGATCTTCGGCCCTGGGTGTTCCGAGTTTCATTCAAATCAAGTTGCGCCTGTAATGCTTGATCAAGAGTACTCTTCATCTTCCTCCTCCTTTGTTCGTGGGCTTCGAGTGACCCAGCGAGCTCTTCCACTGAGAGAACTGACAAGTCCTTTGACTCCTCAATTACGCATGCAATACTCTCGAAATCATCTGTTAATGATCTCAAGATTTTCTCCACAATTCTACTTGCTGGCATTGGCTCCCCATTCCTTCCGAGTTGGTTAGCCACCTTCTCCACCCGAGTTATGTACTCGGATACTTGTTCCTTATCCTCCATCTTCAAACACTCAAACTCTCATCGGAGAGTTTGAAGTCGAATCTGTCTGACACGGTGGTTACCTCTGTGCGCAACCTCCAAGATCTTCCATGCTTCCTTTGAAGATGCAGCGTTTGCAATCTTCTTGAAGCCTGACTCATCCACGGCATTGTACAAAAAATACAAAGCCGATTTGTCCTTCACTCGTGTCTTTTCCAATGCGGCAATCTGAGCCACAGATTGGTCTTCGTCCTCCTCGGGTTCTTGAAACCCCTTCTCCACTATATCCCATAGACTTTGGGAACCCAACAGGGTCTTCATCTGTAAACACCAATTATCATAATTGGTTTTCTTTGACAGTTGTGGTACAGTCATTCCATTAACAACCTTCGCCATTACTCTCTCTTTCTTCTTTCTTCCCCTTCACAGGCGCACACTGTTTTTCTCTCACACTCGGCACTCAGAGTATAAAGCTCTGATACCAATTTGTAGAAAAACTAAGAGAGACGAGTAATACTAGTATTGGGTGAACTTAGCAACTCACTTTTTTTTAGTGAATAAGAGATGACCTTTAAATAGCCATTGTACAACGTACCAAATTAACAAGAAGATAACAAAATATCTTATCAAAACAAATCTTATCAAAAACTATCTTATCTAAACTGAAACAAATAAAACAGATAAACTAACTCGGATATCTCTAAAATTTAAGATTATCTACCAGAATTGACCATGAAGATCAACCAACTCTAGTCAGCGGATGGGATTTCCGTAGCTATGTCAATGGAAATACTTTCCCCCAACAAGATGTGTTTTGTGGAGCCATCTGAGTCACCTGACATAGTTCAAGCTTGCAACATGAAGGTACAAGTTGGAAAGGGTTCATGGGGAGGTTTAAGCTTTGGATGAGTCTATTCCAAAGGATGCTATGGTGTCCCTTTCCCTTTCCTTGTTCTAAATTTTCAATTCTTACCCCTTTCCGTTCCCTTCCGTTTTAGGGTTCAATTCACAGAGTACATTCAGAAAAACGTCGCCTTGTATCAGTTCCGTAACGGCATCCCTTTGACCACCGCCGCCGCCGCCAATTTCACTCGTGGCGAACTCGCCACTGCTCTCCGCAAGGTATCTTCCAAACCCTAATTCCCATTTTTTCATGTCCTTGGACCATTTTGGATCAACTTTTCCATAAATACCTGTAAGAAAAGAAAAACAGGATATAAAATCAACTTATGCACTTAGGGTATGCTCAGATAAACTTCTCAAGAAAAAAAATAGGAAGGAAAAATAAAAACAAGTTTTTAGACAAGTTAATACGACAGTATTTAGTTAATGCATAAGCTAATTTTAGCTTATGGAGAAACTAATTTCATTTTTCCTTTCTGATTTTCTTTTTCTCCTGAAAGAAATTTATCCAAACAAATTCTTAAATTTTGTAGAAACTCTCTCATCTAATTTCTCCAATTTAGCTTATTGGAAAAACAATTGATAAGTGTTTGTGGAGATGTTTCTCCAAACAGTGCCTTAGACTATATAATAGTTGGTTAATGATTCGTTTGGTGCCTCATGTTTTTTTTAGAATCCATACTCTGTGAACATCCTACTTGCTGGTTATGACAAGGAGGTGGGTCCTGAACTATACTATATTGACTACATTGCGACTCTGCATAAGCTTGAAAAGGGGGCTTTTGGTTATGGCTCCTATTTTTCACTCTCAATGATGGACAGACACTACCACAGTGGAATGTCTCTTGAAGAAGCGATTGGCCTTGTTGATAAATGCATTATGGAGATCAGGTCCAGGCTGGTTGTTGCGCCACCCAACTTTGTTATTAAAATTGTTGACAAGGATGGTGCAAGAGAGTATGCATGGCGCGAATCAGTCAAGGATACTCCTGTTCCTTCAGCTTGAGTAACCCTGTCTCTGATTTTCAGTGGACTTCTTTTCATTTGCCTATGCTTTTATCTTTCTACAATTTTTTGAATGGTCTTGTAATGTCTCTGAAAATCATGGTTTATAGATGCTCTAAAGTATGACAGTTTATCATTTGAATTAAATGCATGATGGCTAGTTCTGTTCTGAAATGAATGTATGACATTGTGTGAGGTAGGTTTGATTTTAATGGATTTAGAAATGGATTCTGAATCCATTCTTGTCTTTCTTTGTTGTTGTGGGCTGACCTTTCTAGTTTTGTATTTCCCTGACGATTTTAGATTTTTGGGTTTTTAGCCCCACTTTATGTTATTGGTCAAGAAATGATAAGATATAACAACCTTCCAATCAGTTTATGATATTTTGAAGGATTTGGTAGTAGATCAACTTCATGGGAAGTTACCTTGAGATTAGGATCCATTGGCAGAATTGCTGTTTTGCAATGAATGAAATCCTCCTCTAACATTGATAATGCATATTTATCTTTCTACACTGCCATCTGCCTAGGTGTTTACTTTATTGATCCATCTGCAATCTGTTGAGTATTTGCCTTCAAGTAAAGGATCAACAGACCATTTAATATTTGCCTCCATGGCTGATAACTCTTCTTGCAAGGTTATTTTCCATTCTGAGAACTTAATAGCTTTTTTGATAGAAAACAAGTTCATAGATGTCGCAGACTTGCATGACAAATGACTTGTATGTGAGTGTCAAATGATCATAGGAAATATGTTTAATTAGGAACAGTATTACACTGATATGACAGTTCTGGAGGTAAGCTGGGGGTTTTATGGGTCTGGTGGATATTCTGAGAGGTTGGTCAAGTGGTCTATCCAGGTTCTAGGCTGGTTAATTGATTCCTCGTGCTTATTTGGGTTGTTTGGCGCTTTATGAGTTGTGGTAAGTGGCAAGGTTATTTGGTTAGGCAAGTAAAGGCAAAGGGTAGACAAGATCAAGAAAGAGAGATGCGAGATTATAGTGTTAATGAATTATATGAAACGGAAATATTGTCTTCAAACAAGATGACATCCCAATCCCAGATATGAAAAAGATTCTTGGTCTACAAGTTGTATAATCAATAACCTTTATAGCCAAAAATGGGTAGCCAACAAAGATTGATATGGGATAGCTCTTTTGGAAAATTAAGTTCTAGTGGATGGGTAGTGTTGAGACAAAAGCAAGGCAGCCATAGATTCTGAAGACCATATATTGTGGATCATTTTCATATTGTAGATGATAGGGACACTTTTAATGCAGAATTGGTGTATGATTCGTGTTCAATTGATTATGAAGGTAGCAGTCTGTTTGCACGTATCCCAGAATTAAAGTGGCACCCTTAAATGATAGAAAAGAGACCTAGCCACATGAGAGATGCTGGTGCTTTATTTCCTTCAGAGGTTTGTTGTGGGCATTCTACATAACTGAATTGATGTAATGTTCCTTTAGACCACATGAAGTCAGTCAGGGACTCAGGGCCAATTCTCTGGTATTCTTTGTTCTGATCATCTTGATAATAACATGAAACTGAGTTTCTATCGGAGTAAAATGTTTTGAATGAAGTTAGAAACTTCATCTTTATGCTGTATCGGAAAAAAAGTTAAGAAATGTCGTTTACCATCAAGAGTGTGATATAGCCCCCATATGTCACAGTTCCCTGTTCCCTAAATAAAAAATTCTGGTCAGAGAAAGGATTATTTCAAACTAAAGGCAATATTTTTTCTGTTTAAACAATTTACATATAGTAGACTAGTAGTATATAATGATGAGAAAAGAAATCATGAAGGATATTAAAATTGAAATTTTTGCATAGTATTTGCAAACATTTATGAGAAGGGTGACCAAATCTGGCATGCCAAACCTTGGTAACACTATCCATATTGATATTATTACAAGAAACTGAAGATATTGGTTCAAGTTGAAGATATAAATTCTAGAACCTGGGCTGGTTCAAGGTGAAGAACATAAACACCTTATTACGGATCACCTTTGCCAGTCATCTTCAAGGATCTGTCCTCCAGTGTAAAAAAATAATGACAGAAGGAACTGGAGAGATTAGAATAAGTTGACGGGGAAGTGACTGAATAAGTTTGACTGTAAAGGATGTATGGAAGACATACAAAATTAAGTCTTGATTCAACTAAACAGTGCAAGTGGAATGAATAGAAACAATTGTTATTAGGCTAAGACACAGAAATGAGTGACTTGACAGGTGAAACCTGGATTAACTAGGAATCAACAAATATTTGAGTTTTTGGCGCTGATCTTGAGATAATGGCGAAGACACATTTTGTGGCATTTCAGAGACTTGATTCACAGTAACTGTAACAATAGATGGTATGATCTTGGACTTTAGATTGCCGGGGGGTATCCGAGCACCTATCAATGGTGTGACCATTTATCCCAGAATGAGTGCACATAAGTCTATCCTTTTTGGCATTTTCGTTTCCAGTGTCACCAGGGGGAAGAGGATCTTACAGTAGAATCTGACTTCAAACCCTTGACAAACATTTAATCCCATGAGAAGTGTAAGTTGCAATCTTGCTGTGCGTTTTCAATCAATGCTCGAGCACTACTCCATATGTGCAGGTGCGCATGGAGGCTGAAATTCATTAAATTCTTCCCAAATTCCTTTCAGATGTGAAAAATATTGACTGACTGATTTTGGCCCTGCGTATAAGATCTTTCTTCAAATGTTTTTCTTGGTTCATTTTGCTGTTTGAACCAATCTTGAGGGTATTTCCAGAAATATTCTGTTGTATCAGCATAAATTTCATATTAGAGTCTTCGGATAAGGAATTCAAAATCTAAGAAGAGATGATGTTTCTTTCCTCATCAAGAGAGAAGCCAAGGATCCGTGCGTGCCATCAGGTTTTGCATTGGTAAAAACTAAATTGAACGACTCCATGGACTATAATTGACACTGGCTAAAGGTTGAGAAACCAGAACTAAATCGGGAATTTAAGTATGCAAGAAAGATGGATTATGGCCGAAAAGTGAGCCATGGCGAGAAAAGAAAAGAAGCTCGCAGAAACAATGTTAAAGATGGAAAGAGTAAATGCAGGAAAGAGAAAAAGGTATTGATTAGAAAATGAGTTGCCACTTGCCAAGGGGGTGCGTCTATAGGCTCTTTACTCTATAAACTATATACACTTTAACTAACTACAATTGTCTGATAACTAGCTTTAATATGCAATTAACTACACTAAAATCTTTATAATTAATTCAGGCAAGACATAAATTTTTTTGTATCCTGTCTCGATTTGGATTCTTTCACTTCTTTGACTCTAAATCCCATCTTTTCTAGTTGGAGAAAATTTCTACATTTGATAGGACAAAAACTTGGCTGTTATTCTTTAAATATTCCTGGTGTTCTTCTCCGATCAATATTCGAATTTTACTAAATATTCGTTATAATTTTTAGTGCCGAACTTTAATATGTTGATTATGAAGTAAACCTCTAATTTTAATCGGTAACAACGCAAGTATTTAGTTAATTTTGTCACTTTTACTTAAACTATCTTTATAATAAAAGGTACGTCTAATTTTGATTAGATAATAACAAAATATTTTAGTTAGTTAATTTTTAAAACTATATCTTTTTGACCTAGGAAATCACAGTGGTACAGTCATATTCTCTGAGAGTGATAGATGCAAAACATTACAGATTTTATAACAAAAATGTCAACATTTTCTATTTTTTAAATTTAATGAAATCTATAAAATAAAATAAAAATTAGGACTTGTGAAGGCTTAAATCTTGCTTATGTTTTTACTTAATAGGAAATATTATTAAAATCGGTGGTGTTCAAACTTCAAATTACAGTTAGAGAACTTTAACCAGGTTTGTTGGCCTTGACAATTATTAAAGGATTTTAATCAATTCACACTTGATAAAACTTTTAACCAATTTGCACAACTTGTTAAATTATATAAGACTAATGTCAATGAAACACTCTAACACCCTTACTAATCTTATTAAATTTTATAATTTCTAATAAAATTTAGTCAAGTAAGACTAGTTTTTTGTTTTCTACTCACAATAACTGCAGTTTAAAGTTAAGAAGAATAATAATTGCGTCACTTTTTATATAATTTTACTAAAATAGTCTCACTCTTTTAATAAATGTTTTACTTTTTAAATTGTAGTAATAATTTATGATAGGATAAATTAAGAAAAGAATAATAAATATTACATTTAAAGAGTAAAAACCTTCATTTATTTTAGAATAATTTTCAAATACTAACACTTCAGGTCAGCTAATTTGGGACAAGGGAGTAATGAGCTAAATTGCCTTGAAAGATAAACTATTATTAATAATCGTTAAGTACAGTACTATATCCGCCCAATTGACAATTATCACTTATAAGTACGATTCAATTGATGAAAGCACCTTATGACATAACCTAGAATGTTCTTAATTGCATTTTGATGTAAACAACCGTTTCGAATCACGACTACAGGCTTGCTTCGTACATTTGCATGTTCGGCTGTCTACTAAAACTTTTTTTTTTTCTGAATGGAATGCACTTCATGATCCCACCATTTTATTTAAGTTTTTTTTTTTTAAAAAAATTATATTGTAGTTGCACTTGCACCAAATAATAAATCTATACATTTTTGGGACATGATTTCATTCGATTTAAAAATAACATGATCCGGATGCGACAAACATGAAATCTAAACATTTGTAAAGTTTTTTTAAATAGTAAAATTTCAAATTCTTTAAAAAGAAAAAAAGTAAAAATTTGAAATTTTTATATATTTTTTTTCTTATTTTACATGTATATATCTTTTATCTCTCTCTATCTGTCTCTCGTATCTCTTATGTTTTCTTTTATTTTTTTTCTCTTTCATATCTTATACTCTATTTTTTTTCTCTCTTCTCTTCCATCTCTCTTTCTTTTTTTTTTCTCTCCCAATTTCTTTTCCTAATTATTTGAATATTCAAAAATATTAATATTTTATTTAATTATTAAATATTCAAAAGTATTTTTTAATTATTAAACATTATCTAATATTAATTTTAAAACTATTAAATATTTAAAAATTAACTAATATTTATTTTTATAAAACTTA